AGTAACTCACAGGTTGAGGAGCTTCTCAACCTGGGCTCCACAGAGAAAGCCCTTGTGCCCACCTCCCGTTGACGATCGAGAAAGCAGGGAGCTTCCTGCAGTCGAGCCGTCATAAACCGTACACACAGCTGATCCATCATTTCTGATCCGTCAAAACAAGCCGGCCGAGATCCCCGCGCACCGTCGCGCCCGCGCCGCGCCACGAAGAACGCGACTAAATCCGGAGAACCGACCGCGAGCAAAAACAAGTGTATACAATACGTGGAAACCGCACGTCTTTTCGTCGTACCAATGGCGAAATAATCTGTAAATATTGTAAATATAAACCCAGCCAGTCGGCGTTGTGAAAATAAACATAGAAATATTAGAAGACACGACAATTTATTTCTCGTACCGAATCCTGACAAAACCGATCGACGCTATCCTGCAAAAGCGAGCGACGCGGTAATAGAGACGTTTTAAAACTAAATCAAGAATTATAAATATTAACAATCATAAAATTAATATTATTTTGTGAAAATTAAATATTGAATAATATGACTGATCTTTGACAATAAAATCGATTTTGGATTCATTTTCTGTTTTCCTAAAATAGATTGACAAATCAAAATGATATTTTTACAAGATTTTTTTTATAATAATAATTAAAAATATTTAAAAAATGTTTAATGTATTATTAAAAAAACTATATCCTAAAGAGTTAAAGAATTACATTAAGTATTACGTAAAAAATTAAGTAATATTATGTAAAAAAAATAATATATGTATATATATTCTTACATAGACATCCTTACATAGACATCCTTACATAGACATCTTTACATAGACATAAAATAAAAAAAAATTAACCAATAAGCCCTATAGCAACAATAGTGCTATAATATACGTACTTACCGTTAATAGCCATTATGGATGCTTTTGCCGCGATTTTGATTTCTTTAACATGCACTTTTTATCTTTTCTAGCATAAATATCATTTAATAGACACACATAATACGTGTCATCAGAAAGCATTACTAAAGCAAACATTGCGATTTATATTTACTTAGTTTATTCTTTTGATGAGTTTGGTCTAGCGTTGAACAAGACACTTCTTAGCGAGTTCATTTGTTATTACAGAGACTGTTCTTTTTATTGAATCTCTTGCATAGTTCATTTTTCCTTCTTTTCTCTCCCTTGAAGAGAAAAATAGATGAAAAAGTTTAATTAAAAAGAATAAGTATAATAAATATTTTATCACGCAATGTACATGAAAAATATAGAGTTATTTTGAATTATGAGCGTCTTGGAGTGCGGTCCACTTGGTTTTATAAATGCTTCGAAACTTTGATTAACCAATCCGAACAAAGTTCACTAAATATGTCTTTTTTCTAATTGATTAAATTTCAATCTAATCACAATCTCAATTTCTATTACGATACCGACCTTAGTTTTTTTATAAATATTTGATCCAAAAGTAGAATGTACATAGTAAATACGTCATAGTATTCAGCATCTTTGTTTCGCAAGATGTTGTTATGACATATTTTCTAACCTCTCTAGATTTTTTATCTGATAATAAATTATTATTGTTAATATCAAATTGTTGTAAATCCTTCACTTTTATAATCAGTTGCATACATTCGGTACTGTACTGTTGAAAAGGAGTCATGAAGAATTTATAACGATTTAATAAGAATAATAATTTATTATATGGTAGTACAACGGATTTTAGAAAATATATCATAACAACAACGTTTGCAAGTATTTATATAATATTATATAATATGATTACCATGTATTCTTTGATATCCTTGAATAACTTGCCTATGAAGATATTGATTGTATGTACGGATTCTATATATAAAATTTTTATGTATACTATGTATGTTACAATTTCTTCAACATTATTTGAGATATAAAATTCTATTCTGCAAAACACATATGCACTGCATATGTGACCATTAACTTCTTTACATTTGATATTTCCATCAAGATTATTTTAAATATAAAAGTTTGATGTGTGTTTATATAAGTATACATACATATTATATGAATATGTAGTTTGCCAAATAATATTCTATATCTGAAATAATATTGATAAAAATAACGTAACAGTATGTATGGTATAATACTTTTACATATATTAAAATTCTTTATATACTAAATAATGCACTCAATTAAGCCGATATCAAATTACAGAACAAAGTTCACTAAACATGAGATTGGTTTTCTTTTTTCTGATTGGTTAAATTCCAAGTTAATCTCAATCTCAATCTCCAGTATGATACTGGCTTTAGCCTTTTCATAAGTATCTGATCCAAAAGTAAAATGTACATAGTAAATACGTCATAGTATTCAGCATCTTTATCTTGCAAGTTGTTGTTATGACATACTTTCTAACCTCTTCAGATTTCTCCACCTTATAAATTATTATTGTTCTTAATATCAAATTGTAAATCCTTTTATAATCAGTTGCATATTCAATACTGTATTGTTAAAAAGCAGCCCTGAAAAATTTATAACGATTTGATGAGAACAATAATTTATTTATATAGTAAATTGGATGTTAGAAAATATATCATTATAACAATATTTACAAGGCAACAATGCTTAATATGATATGATATATTGTATGATATCATGTGTATTCTTTAGTATCCTTGAATAACTTGCCTATGAAAATATTAATTGCACTCTATATGTAAAATTTTTATGTTGTACTATGTACGCTGTTACAATTTTCTTAACATTATTTGAGATATAAAATTCTATTTCGCAAAACACATATGCATTGTATATGTGATCATTAACTTCTTTATATTTGATATTTTTATCAAGATTATTTTAAATAAAATTTTATGACTTCTTTCTATATATGTGTACATAGATATTATATAAATATGTAGTTTGCAAAATAATATTTTATCTGAAATAATATTGATAAAAATAACGTAACAGCATGCATGGTACAATATTTAGTCATGATATATGCGAAGAATTTGTGCATATGTTCTATCATTCGAACTAGAATACGTTTCGCTCCAAAATTGTTATGTTTGTGAGCATAATTTATCTTAATTTAATGTTTGATTGAATATTTTTAATTAATACAAAATGCACTTATAGTCGCATGACAGATTACTTAATTTAGTAAATCATCATATGTAACAGCACATTTTATTTTAATGGATGAATTCTTGAATGTTTTCTTGATTGATATATACTGATTTTATGTATTAAAATATATGTGTCGACGTTTAGCGAAAGGAATAAGCTGATATCGATAGAAATTGTAGAAATTACAGAAACTGCGGAATATTGGTGGTTGCTAAGATTAAATAATCTGTCATGTTATGATCAAATATGTATAGCGATATAGAATTATGCTTTCAACTTTCATATTGTATGACATATTATATGGCGCATAAAATAATAGCATATTTTGGTTTAGTTTCTTATGGTTACATTTTTGCAGGGTGCATATGTCAATGAGTTATTGATTTTATTTTCTGTGAAATTTTGCAAATAAGTAGCTTTTCAATTGTTTTATGTATGAAAAATACGAGAATTGATAAATTTGTTGTTCTGTTGTAAAAAAGATTTAATTGCCTTAATCTTTTACGACATTGTGCAAAAGTCGTTAAATTAATCGGTTTACATAAATTATTGTCAAATACGTCAATCTACGATTAAAATATTTAATTGCTTATATATAATTATGAATTGAAACATTACACATCAAAATGATAAACAGCGTATATGAAAATTAGTCATGTTATTTATTTCAATAAATGTGTAGTGCTTTTCAATAAATATTACAATCAGTAATGTAAATAGCTATTATATAAACTCCAAAAATGTTTCATAAAAAGTAACCTTTTAGACAAATTAATTAATCTTATAAAACATCATATGTTTTATAAAATATCATTAAATATATTTATAAAGTATTTTATAAAATATCATAGTTTATTGCTTTTTTATAATTTCTATTGATATATGAATGTTCTATGCATTAAAATGTCAACGCATGTATTTTTTTCATAAAGTCTTAAAGATATCTTTAAAATATCTTTAGGCAAAGTTTTTAGAAAACCTTTCAGTACAATACTAAAAATGCCTTTTGGACGTCTTT